ATTGGTGCCCGACACCTGCTCATGTGTGTGCGCGTTAGCATCACAAGACACTTGGTGCAACGTGTCAAGAGGAAAGAAAGAGAGGAGTGGGGCATATCACCTGCTGGATGTTGGCGAATCCCTTTTCGCCCAGCTCCCAGTTGTCAAAGTCGAACAGTCGCGCCATCTTCGCACGGAAGTCGCGCACTTCCTCCTCGCCGCTGGTCCACCCGAGGGGCTTGCCGATCAGAGACCCGATTTGAATGTTCCTCAGTTTTTCCTGCACGGCACACACACACACACAATGGACAGTGAGCGAACGGCATTGGCCAATGCGAACAATGAAGGAGCCGAGAGTAAGAGCTCTTCTTACCATTCTCGAGGTTCGCTGGGACCCAAGCGCGATCTTGCGGACCTGTGGGTTGAAGTAGGTGCTCTTCAGTCGGCCATTGGTCTCCTCAGGCGGTATCGTGCCCGAGCTTCCCAGCGCCAGCGCTGGCCGGCGCCGGGCGGTGGGCGACGACTCCTTGCGCGAGCGCTGTGATGTGAGGGGAATCGATCCGCCGCTGCCGGTGGCGGGCTGTCGCTGCTGCGGGAGCTGGTTGCCGGTCGGCGAGCCCGCTCGGTCGCGCGCGCCGTACTTGCGGAACGGCTGCGGCGTGCCGGCCAGGGGTCGGTCGTCGAAAATGGAGGGGAGCGACGGGAAGGAAGACGACGACGTCATCAACGCGGGCCTTGCCTTGGCCTGCTCCAACTCACCACCATCCACAGCTGCAGCTCGATCGCCGCTTGCGTGCTGCACCTCGATGACCTGCTCGGCCTCAGCGTCGGCACTGTCACTGTGACCGTTCGTGGGTTTGACGTCGTCTTCGGCCGGCAGCGAGGAGAGCTCAGCCTTGTGAAGCAGTCGCGCCTCGCCCGCGCCCTTGCGCAGGGCCTCCAGCACCTTTTCGAGGTGCGCGATGGCGTCGTTCTGCACCGATCGGTGATTGGTGGTTAACGCATTGTTAGGGCTGCTGTGATCCAAAAATGTCGAGCGAGAGAGAGAGTGAGAGATGCTGCGTGTTGCTTACCTGCAAGTGCTGTGCGGCGCTGACGGCGCCCTCGGTTTCGGGTATGTGACGATGGGGGAGCGTGAGGAACACGGTGGTACCGTCGTTCAGCGAAACTTGCGCCTCGACCATGTTATCCTGATCAGCGATGTCACAATCAATGGTTGTGCCCTCTGCGAGTCGCATGTGCCAGTGCGTACCTTGTTGCCGTTGAGCCTTCGCAGCTTTTCGCCGATCGCTGCCTCCTCGGCGGCCGTCAGCGTGCTCTTGGCGTCATCGAACAGTTTGTCCAACCCTGGACGCGCGCAAGGAAGTGTGAGAAACAGGCCCACCTGGTGGAAGCGGAGGGAACGGCGGAGTATGCGCGGGTACGTGATGTGAAGTCGCTCAGGATGACGTCGACTGTGTCGGGTGCGGTCGTGGTGGGTTTTGTTGTCGACAGGTTGTCGGCGGGCTTCGGCGGGTCTCTTCGACTGCCCGCCGGTCGCACGCTGCTCCCCTTCTTGCCGCCATACAACTCGAACCTGATGTTATGTCACCGCATGATGTTGTCCACTGGTCAGCTGCATATCAGGGCGCGCCACGCTCGCGCGGCGGAGGGGAGATGAGAGAGAGCACGGTACTTGTCGCGCGGCTGCAGCTGTAGCTGCACGGGCGTCTCGCCGAGGAAGGCGTTGTGTATTTGTTCGTGCGACCAAACGAGTTTGACGAACTCGACGTGCAACACGTCATCCTGGCGATTGGTTGAAAGAGTTAAAATAACATCACCATTCACGTGCCAGCGGCAGCGAAACAAGAAAAGTTCGGTCAATATTGTCACCAGCGCTGTACCTCGTTCAAGGCGAGAAAGTAGTCGTTGAGCTCCTTGCCTTTGAGCGTGGGCGTCCTCTTGAAGATCTCGTACTGCGTACGGCACGATCGTCACCAGTTAGGGCACGAGAAAGAATGAATAGAACGCAACGCGCAGCCCGCCCTCAAGGACAACAAAAAAACCGATGAAGAGAGAAAGAGAGTCAAAGCAGCAGAGTAGCTTGGGGGTGGTGGGAGAGTTACTTTGACATGATCGACGGTCGAGGTGGCCGGAAACTCGTAGGCGTGCGTCTCACCAGCGATGACCACCTTTCAAACAGAGGGAGGAGAAGGTGGTGGTGAGAAGAGAGCAGGACGTGCTGGGCAGCTTTGCAGCAAAAGGGGAGCAGCTGGTTGAGGGCCAGGTACCTGGACCTTGAGCACCGCGTTCTCGAACAACTGTGAAGAAGCAAAAAAGTAGAGGGTGGAAGGGGGATTAGATGGAAAATGGGCAAAAGAATGCACTGACGCTGGGATCGTAAATGAGTTTGAGTCAAATGTAAAGCATAAAAATCAGTAAAAAGGTGGGCGGGCCACAAATTTCTTTTGATCGATAAAATGGGGCAGAAAAGAGAAGATTCGAACCTTGGAAAACTTCACTGTATCGGTAGACATCTTAGCGGCATGTACCGCGAGGCCAACGACAGAAGGACGAAATAATCTGCTGGCTTGCAACCACCACCTCCAAGCCTGTTTGCTTGATGAGGAACTCGCTGTCGTCGCCAATTCAAACAAACCAAAAGAAATCGATAATCGAGCTTGTTGTTGTGTGGTTGCAAGCCTTCCGGACGGGGATTTAATTTGCATTTAATTTGCGCTTTCTTTCCCTCCTGTTAAGGTGGCTGTCCAGCTCCGCTCCTCGACTTGCGTGCCACTCTTGTTTGTGGTGCTAGAGGTTGTGGACAAGTTATAAGTTGTTGAAGGACATGTACACATGCATGACATTTACAGGCTGTGACGGACAAAGGGAGAGAGAGAAGGTGTGTTCAAGATGGTGATGATGATGAGATAGAGGGTGATGATGGTGGCAGAGAGATGTGAAGGAAAGGGAGAGAAGGCAAGTCGCTCCGTTTCTTCTCTGCTGTTGCGAGAGGCGCTGAGGAGCGGAGAGAGGCCAAGACAGCGCTGATGATGATGTCCTGGGGCTTCACTCCTCGAAAAGGACGCGGGCCGAGTTCGCGGATGATGGTGGAGCGGAGACCACGACCTGGGGCACTGGTGATGAAGATGATGACGAAGGCGAAGGATTGAGCAGCTCGTCGATCAGCTCCTTCCTGCTGGGTGGGGCAGTGGCGGCTGTCGTCGCACCGGCGCTGGCGGCCGCCGGCGAAGTCGAACGACCGCGCACCGGAGTTGGCAACTTGCACAGCACAGGCGCAGCGGAACTGTCTGCTGCTCCTCCCGCTGTCGTGGTGGAGGCGGGCGACGACGACGCGGACGACGGGGGGCCACCGGGCGAGGGCATCAGCTCTGACGCGTCAGAGCCTTCGTTGTGGGCGGCGTTCTCGTCCCACTCGAGCTTCTTGCGCACGGGCGTGGACGGGGCGGTGGGGCTGGTCAGCGAGAAGCTGCGCCTCGATCTTCGGGTGGAGCGCAGACGCGGAGGCTCGGCCACTTGCGCTCGCTCTTGGAGCTGCGGCACGGGGATGCCCTCTTCGTTGGTGTCGGTCGCGGCTGCCGCTGCGCTGTCGCTCGGTGGATGAGCGTTGTTCTCGGCCACCTCCACAACCGCCTGACGGGCCTCAGACGGGTGAGCCTTAGCGTAACTCACCCATTCGTTCCATGCGCGCTCGGCTCGATCAATTTCGGCGTCCCGATTCGTTGCTGCCTCCGCCTTGGCCCACTCCTCGACAAAGGATCGCTTCTCGTTCTCGAACTCGGTGTGCAGATCGGTCTTTTGTCGCTTAATCTTCTGGAGGTGCTCATCTTGCACGCGTTGTTGGCCCTCGAGCTCATCAAGCTGCACCACTAGATCGTAGCATCGTTTCTTTCGCTTGGCCAGTTCTGCGTCCTGCATCCTTCCTTCCTTGGCACCTTCGATCTGTTCGTCTCTTCCTCGATTCCTGCGCTGAGAATATATGAATTGGCTTTGAAAATTTGAAGATTGTCCAGAAGATCAAAGCTACCGCTACGTGTGGATCTACCTGGGGGTGGTGGAAAGCGCGTCTGGGGTTCCACCGGTCATAAGTCCGTTGCACTTATGGCGCGAAAAAGGTTCAGTTTGGCGCGAAAGCGTCGCAGGGGAAACGTGCTGGTATGCGTGGTATGCATGATCACCCCTTGCGTGCGAGTTGCTAATCTTTCAAAGATAGGATTGATCGATAGGCAAATGAAGAAGATTTGCTCGCCAATTCCAAGATACCCTGCAGAAGATGAAGCGCGCAAGCATTTTGCGGCCACGATTCGTTTTCAGTAATGCTACCTCCCGCAACCGCTTGCCCGCTCAGGTACTGTCCCCATGGGAAAGGAGGAGCGACTTCGATTCATGACCAGGGGTCCGCAGGCATTGTTGTACTCGACCACTGCAGCGCCTGTTAATGCACGGGAAGAGCGGCTCCAGGACCGTTCGGTGCCCAAGGCGCCCTTGTGGCTCGGTGCAGCAGGCTTGATACCCTTTGTCTCTTGTGCGGCAGGCGTAGCTGCCGGCGGCGTCGACCTCACGCTGCTCTCGCTGTCCGTGACACCCGACCAGCTTGTCCACCTGCAGGCCGTCTACGGCGTGAACATCCTCAGCTTCATGGGGGGCGTCCATTGGGGACTCGCCATGGCGAACTATCAGCGACCGCCATCAGCAAAGGCCTCTGTGGTGCCTACCACTCCCTCAGAGACCAAGGAGCAGGACATGCCTTCATCGACAGGCGGTAATCGCGAGGAATGGAGATATGGGCTCAGGTGCGCAGTGACTCGATCAGTTGTGTCGTGCGTGTGCGGTGTGGCGTGGTGTGTGCGCTCTTCTGACTCTCGCGTTCCCTCGCTCCGCAGTGTGGTGCCGAGCCTGGTCGGTTTTGGTGCGTTGGGTCTCTTTCCCTCATCCCCCTCGGTCCAGCTCGCAGCGCTGATGGCCGGCTTCGCGTCCGTCTATGCGGGCGACTTGACGGCCGCTTCACACCAAATGGTGCCCCGTTGGTACCTCAAGCTGCGCACGCCTCTCACGCTCATCGTCCTCCTCTCCCTCGGCGTCTCCTACGCTCACCTCCCGCCACAACAGTGACGTCAGCAATAAAATTTGTTAATAAATGCTGCTTATTTGCCTTTAGATTATTTATCATTTATTACAAAAGATGAATGGAGCGAGCTCGGCAGGGGTGGGGAGCAAAGGTACGATGCGTAGCGTGACCCTTACCGAGTTCGGCACTGAGGAGGGCTTCTCCTTCATGAAGAATGTACGCCAACCAGCCCGTTCATTCGGTTGGGCAGATTTGAATTTGATTTGTTGGGGTGGGACCTCTGCTGACGGCTGCACGGCTCTCGGTTTGGTTCACGATGTGTGGTACGCTGCGTGCATGCTGGGTGGTTGCAGTGTGCACGGCCAGAAGTCGCGGACGACGAGGTGCTGGTGCGGGTCAAGGCGAGCGCGGTGGCGCCCATCGACGGCGCGGTGCGCCGGGGAGACTTTGCGCAGTTCGTGCGGCTGCCGGCAGTGCCCGGCTATGCTGTGTCTGGCGTCGTCGAGAAGTTGGGCATGGAGGTCGACCGCTTCAAGGTGGGCGACGAAGTCATCGGTGCGTGTATATGCGTGCGTGTTACGGATGGTGCTTGAGCTCACTGCGTCCTCCTCCTAGCCGTCCTCCCGCTCGACGTGGGTGGTGGCTACGCACAGTATGTCGCCGTCAGTCACTGCTTCATTGGTACTTCGGATACACGCACCGCGTTAGTGGTTATCACGTTGTGCTTATCTAATGCTCTTTGCATCAGCGTACAAGCCACTGGAGATCAACCACGAGGAGGCGGTGGCATGTCTTCTCGGTGGCATATGGTCCTACACCGCGCTGCACTACCACTTCAAACTCTCGCCCGGCGAGACCGTGCTCGTACTGAATGGTGAAACTCGCTTCGACCAGGTTTGGTCTATAGTGCGGTTTATTGTATGGCTCACACGTATCGGTACACAGCTGGGTCAGCGTACGGACACATTGCAGTACAGCTGGCCACTTCTTGGGGGGCCAAGGTGATCGCTGCCGCGTCTTCGGTCGAGGAGTTGAACTTCTTGAACGATCTTCGCGTCACGTACGTAGCTTCACCCATTCATCATTATTCGCCACTGCAAGCGATCATCGCTATTCTAACACTCATTGCTGTTGTTACATTTTACTGGTGGCTCAGGCTGGACCGAGTGATAGACTTAACGACAGAGAGTCTTGTGGATGCGGTGATGGAAGAGACCGGAGGACAGGGCGTGGACTTCCTCCTCGAAACCATTCCGTTGACCGAGCACCTGTCGACCACCACCGCTGCAGGTTTTCATCCATCTCGCCACCCTTCAGTAAGTCAGTTCTTTTCGCCATGTTGAGGCACGCCACATCATCACAGAGAAGGAGAAGCGAGAGCGGGAGATGTCGCCGATCATCTCCGAGATGGTGTCGTCCGAGGCACGCGGTCGCGCTGCCTATCCCTCCCGGCGTGATCTCATACGTTGCCTCGCCCCGCTGGGCCGATGGGCCACCTCCTCCGCACAGCTTCAGGTAAACGAAGCACCGACTCAGCATCCATTGGGCGCATTTGATTGCTCACCACATCTTGCCTCAGTTGGATCCGCCAGACTCGCGATTGCTGTTTCTGAAGGGAGCCAGTCTCAGTTTTGTGTTTGAACAGTCGTGGCTTCTCGCCGGCTCACAACAAGGGCGACTTCTCCGTACGCTATTCCTCAGCGCGTCGTGTGTTCGTCGTCTTGTGTTGCATTTGCTCTGACACCCCACCGTCCATCACACAGACGTTCTGAGCGACCTGATGGAAAAGGTTTCCAAGGAGGAGATCGTGCCCAAGGTGACCAAGTCCTTTATCCTGGAGAAGATCCGAGAGGCCCACGCACGCTGGACACCAACAACGTCGGCACCATCATCATCAAGCACTGACGCTGTGTCTTGCGGCACAGAAAAAAAGAAAAAAACCCATTACCCACGCTAGAAGCAACAAGATGAGCAGCGACAGCGGTAGTGGTGGAGACAGACCGGTGCTGTACTCGTACTGGCGCAGCTCATGCTCGTATCGTGTCCGTATAGCGCTCGCCTTCAAGGGCATCGATTACGAGTACCGGGCGGTTAATCTTGCGGCCAAGGGCGGGGGCGAGCAGCACCAGACTGAGTACGAGCGTCTGAACCCCATGAAGGCCGTGCCCACGCTCCTCATCGACGGAGCCGCCATCGGTCAGTCCGTGGCCATCTTGGAGTACCTTGAGGTGCCGCCTGCTTCTCAGCTCCTCTGACCCTGCAAGTTCACTCAACGGGCTCGAGCAGGAGACGAGGCCCGAGCCTTCGCTGCTGCCGGCCGCGGGCCAGGGGGCGACGGCAGCGGTGCAGCGCGCCAAGGTGCGGCAGCTGGTGCAGATCATCTGCGCCGACACGCAGCCGCTCCAAAACAGCTCGGTGCTGGCGGCGATCGCTGGCGATGACGAGGAGGGTAAGGCCGCCTTCGCGCGCAAGTGGATCGAGCGTGGCCTTCGAGGTACGCACCTCGCACGCCCTGGTTGATGATCATCAAACTACCACGTCTGCCTCCACTCACCAAACCAGTGCAACGCCCATAGCCTACGAGAAGACCATTGAGACGACGGCAGGTCGGTACAGTGTGGGCGATGAGGTCACCCTGGCCGATCTGGCTCTGGTGCCACAGCTCTACAACGCCCGTCGCTTCGGCATCGACGTCACGACGGCCTTCCCTGCTCTTGCGCGCATCGACGAGGCCCTGCAGCAGCTGCCAGCCTTTCGAGCGGCCCACCCCGACGCTCAAATCGATGCCCCGGCCTCACAACAACAAGGACCACAATGCTGAACACGTTTAAGGCAACACCGAAGGGACGATGAAGATCTGCCAGGATAGCAAGCAACAAAGCGCGACATTCCCACGCGAAGCTACCAACTTACTGTTGTGGCTATGAAGTGTTGTATTGTGGGTGTTGTATTTGCGAGGGTGAAGCGGGTCGTAGATGTCAAGGTATTCAACGAATGCAGCCGTTGGCCCGTGCATGCCTTTCGTGTTTTAGTTTTCCCGCGCTTTTGGCGGGCGAAGAGGAGAGCACCAGATCAAACAGCAACACATCGTCTCGCTACACCCTTACACCGATCCTCCGGCTCGTAATCTACATAGGCATCGTAATCCCTTTCTTGGAGGAAGGGAAGCCACCGTAATTCGAGCTCAGCTAAGGGTCATCTGTTCGATTATTTCACTCCAACATCTGCATCTAATCCTACATACGAAGACGCACAATGGCGGACGACGAGGACCTCTATAAGGGACCCCTGGCGGAGCGCGTCCAGAGCAAGAACTGGAAGGTGCGGCGGGCCGCCTACGAACAATTGCAGCAGAACTTCAAAGAGGCCACCGACAATGGCATCTTTGACGAATACGGTACGCGATTTGATTCCAACTCAACTTTCTCGGTTCAGAGAGGAAACTGGAATCACTCACTTGAACTGTTCTACCCCGCAGCACCTAAATTCAAGAAGATTGTCGAGGACAAGAATGCTGCGG